GTTTTGATGAGGTTCCTCTCTCCAATTGTTCGTTCTTGAGTTTAGATTATTTAGGAATATGAACTCGTAGATCTTCCGTGTAGGTTTCCTTGGTTTTTGGACTTTTTAGTTTCTTTGTTTTAAAAAAAAAAGAAGTTAGCATTTAATACAAAGTATAATAAATGAAAATCACATTTTAGTGACATCTAACACGTGCTAATACAACTCCAGATATTTTTTATGCTAAAAAATCTGAATACTAAAACACATCGATGCACCCATTATAAGGAATACACCATTTGCAACAGTCCAATCAGATTTTAAACATCCCAATCGAACAACCACCCTTTAAATTTCTTAAATACCATATTTATCCTCGTCAAATAACGAGTCCTTTTCATTCACAGCCGAATATAAGCTACCACGATAGTTCAGGATGATTATTGATCCCACGCACTTTCATCCGAATAGGCTTAATTGCATAATTTTAATAATATTTGGTTCATTAGTCTAATATTATTGATTAATATTGAAATAAATTTTTCAAAACTAAGTGAAAGCTAATAATAATCTATCCACGATAAAAAAAAAGTGTCCCAATAGAAATTATACAATTTATTTCATAATAATACATATTAATATTAATATATATATATATATATATATATATATAAGGATTTGTTAGAAATTACTGTTAAATTTAAATATTTATATCACTTATTAATTTTTTTCTACACGCTTAATAATTTTTTATATAATGCAAGATTTGACAAATTTAATTATTGAATGTGATGTATATCAAATTTTATATAATTTAACACATGCTAAATATTATTTAAAATTTGAAATTTGTGATTTTTATTATTTAATATTTTTTATATAATATGAAATTAATTAATCTAATTGATAAAATTTCATATAAAAATTAAATTAATAAGCGCTTATCATATAAATTTATTTTAACAAGTAATATATTTTAAAAATATAAAAATATTAAATTTTAAATAATTCATTTACAAATATTTAAATTATAAAAATTTAATATAACACAAAAATAATATAAAATAATTCAACGAAATTAATTCAGCATATTACATTTTTAGATAATTCTGAAGAGTGAAAATATTAAAAATGTAAATACATGAACTAATTATTTTATAATTTTGTTATGTTAAATTTGAATCTATTTTAATTATTTCAAACACAAAAATGCAGATTATATTGTGTAATTAATTACTTTATTCGTAAAAATTGATTTGAATTTATTTAAACACTTTGCTTGATTTATTTTATAATTAAAATATGAAATGATATTCTTGTTTATCTTGTATAGGTAATAATCTAAGTATTTAAGTGCCCATAAATTAGGAAGATAGAATTGAAGTTGTTATCTACGCATAAGTATGAAATGAGTAATTTTTTAAAGTGCGGTCTTGAAAATAAATATTTTAATTTCGTACCTAAATATGTGTAAATATAATCCTTAATCAATTTTATTATTATAATCCTTAATCAATAGTTGAAAGTTAATTTTTTAAGACATAATATACTTTATTTTATATGTATTCTGAGCAAATATATTATGTTTTATATTGTAACACTGTCATATTATTCCTTTAGGATAACAATTCTCTAATGATTCGTGTAAGTTTTCATATTTGATACAAGTCTAGTTAGGTTATTTTTTAAACTTTAATCTAATCATCTTTAAAAAAAAAATGTCTTGTCTATTAATAGAATATTTAGAAATTTAAGTAATGTTTAAAAATAAATTATATAAATAAATAATAATCAAAGCATTTGTTTAAAAAATAAATATATTTTTATATATGAATAAATTAAAAAATAATAAATTATTTTTTTAAAATGTATATTTCATGCAAGTATGTTTGTAACAGAATAGATAAAATCATTAAACAAATTATTTGAATATACGTATATATAATCAGAAACAATTATACATGAATATTTTGACTTATCCAAAACATACAAAGCTCATTGTGAAAGAAATAAGGACTTCCATCATCTCTTTCTAGGAAAATTTGAATTAGAAAATTTGGACTAAAAAAAGATAATGGGTAGGTTCAAGTCTTTTAACTTAAATATAATTTAAATAAATAACTACTACAATCTTGACAATAAAAAGTTCTTATAATAAAAAAGGATAAAAACATTTTATTTTTTACGTCAAAGTATCATATGATTAGTCACACAAAAAATTAATAAATTGAAGAGAGTTCATATTTGTATATATCTACTTAGTGTTAGGAACATACTTTCTCTGATTCTTTTTATAAAAAATAAAATGAAACAATTTTTTTTTATTCTTATTATAAGAAACAAATGATAGATTGAAGATGTATTAATTTTTTTTATATTTTTTATTAGTATCATTAAATATATAAATTATTAACTATATTATTTAATATTACGAGTATTCTTGGAATAAAATTTATATTTATGAAAAAATAATTAATTTAATTATTTTTCTTAATCCTAATGATTTAATCTTTTGTTTCTTATGAAAAGGACTAAAAGTAGTATTTAAATTAACTACAATGAGTGAGGAGATTAAACAAATACTCCCTAGTCAAACAAGTTTTTATGATCAATAGCTTTTGACGAGTAATTTTGAAGAAGTTTAAATTTAAAAAAATACATTATTATATTTAATTACTCAAAACAAAGAGGAGCCAGTTAGTCATATACTATATTAGTCTTAGAAATATAAATTACTAACTAAATAAATTAAAATTATAGTCTTTAACTATTATTGCATCAAGCACCGCCACCCGCTAACCATGAAATAGACTCTTGTTTATTCTCATTTGATAGACAATGATGATTCTTACATGTTTTACAAGATTGCCTATTTTTTTTACAAAAGTTTGATTATGATTGTTATTTGCCAAACATTTTTTTAATGAAAATATTTAATAATGAATAACTTGTCTTATATTTTATACGAGTAGCTTGCGTGGTGTAATACATGTTAGAGTGGATTTAATGGTAGAGGAACAATCTTTGCATTGACTCACTCAAATAGGATATTTGTTATGTTGCAGAATAATATTGAGTCATGACGGTAAATGTTACTTTTTATTTTTTGCAAAAAGTTATTCAAAATAGCACAAAAGACTTCGAAGCCACTAACAAATAATAAAATCAAACTCAATGTTATCAATAATTAAAACTTTTCCTTCACAATAATGGAGTGTGATGATATTTTTATGTTTGAAGTTAGTTATAAATATTTCAAGTTACTGTGTTACCTAAAACATGCTTTTAGTTAGGTTAAATATTATTTATAATAGCTTGTACTTGTCTGATTAAATTAAATTCTATTTATAATAGTTCATACTTAACTTAGACTAGAAAATATGATAGAATCGATGTTTGTTAAAATTTAATTTAAAAATTATGAAAAGCATACAACTTTAACGGCTTGTATTTCGTCATTATATAATTTATCTACTTGTTTTTTAGAGTGGAATTTTAAAATACGGTTAAATTTGCAAAAAAGACTAAATAATGAGATTATAGATAAGACTAGAAAAAAAAAAAAAAGACTTCCATACACTGTTTTTGTTATTATTATTGAATTAAATGCTGGCAGGGTGCACATTACGTATACAGAAGTGTTTCTCTCGAGTTAAAATTCTCTCCAATCAAAGCGTGCCACATCACCAGTTTAAGTCTCCATGAGGCTGCGAATGAATCACCGACTATGATCGGCCACCACTTTCGATACACGTGTCTCAATCGTAACGAGCAATTCCAGTAACATGAGAGCTGTGACAGTTTTTTAAAACACTACAATTTTTCATCGTATTTATTAATTTATTATAACTTTTAATTTTTTTATGAAAATAATGTAAATTTTATATGTCGTATATGTTAAATACGATCTATCTTTAACATTTTATAAATTGTATTTGCAATTAACCATTCTCAGTGTATATTGATCTATCTTTAATTTTATAAATATGAAATAGCCAAATATTATAGTAAAATGACTGAGTTTGAATTTTTGAAATTAGATTTTATATTTACTTTTTCACTTGTTATGTTAACGGTGTCATTAAGGTTTTTTTAAGTGATTTTATTAACTTAAGAAAGGTATTATTGTGTTACTTATAAAAAATAAATGGCAAAACATGCCTTTTATTTTTTGATAAAAAATAATGATTTTTTTTGTAATAATAATAATTATTATTTCTTTACAATATTCGTAAAAGGACTTATTCTGATATATCTTATATTTTCTGACGCCGATATTTTGTTATCCACTAATTTGTAGTATAAATTATATAAACATGAATATTAAATATTTTTTTCAACCGTGAAAAGACGATGGTACGAATTGATACTCCTACTTCAGCACACGTCGGAGACAAAGGTTTGGAAGTGATATACGTACAATAAATATTGTAAGAATAGTTTTTTAACCACAAATAATATAAAAACTAAATTCAAAATTTAAAAATCAATTATTTTACTAGAATAGTTGGTTACATTATTTTCATTTTAACCATTATTTATTAAACTTGAGACTACAATTTAACTTGAAATATTTTTATTGATTACTCTACATGTTCACTGATATTATATTATATATACTAGTTACATTATTTTTATATAAAATATAACAGTCACAATAAATCAATAAAAATGAAAATTAAAGAAAAATCACTATAAAAATTTCAGTTTGAATAAACTTTTAAAGATATTTTTACAAGTGAAAAAGTTAAATAATTATTTGATATTAAAATATTTTTTAAATTTTAAAAAATAAAATAAATAATTTTAAAAACAAATAAACATAAATTATTTTAAATGTATATAAAAAATTTATTTAATTTTTATTCTAATTTTTTTCTGCCGTAAATTCATAATAAAAAATTTATATTATATGCGTCAAAAAGAGTGGCGGGTGACCGGTTAAACAGGTCACTCCCACACTGGGCTGGGACAACTTGTCTCTCCATCTCTCACTCTTCCTTTATATTCTCTGGGATTTCAATATTTTCAGTTCCCTAATTACGCTTCAGAAGAGCGACCCTTCGCCTTTTGCAGCTCGCGGTTTCGATGTGAGTAGTTTGTTCTCCATACGATTCGTTTGGTATCGTACTGTTTTGTAAGCATTATTGGGGTTTTTCAAATTTTCAGCTGCTGATCGATCTTGGAACCTGTGAAATCTGCTTGTTTTTTCCGCTTTAATTTTAAATTTTAAATTCGGGTAAAATGTTTCAATTATTTTTGTTTTATTTTTTAAAAAATTCAATTTTTGTGGTGTTGGGTTTAAGGTTTGCGTTTTTCGTTGTTTGGGGATGCGAATTGGGACTTTATCGTATTTCGGTTACGCCGCAGCATTTGGGGGTTCTGAATTTCTGTGTATGCCTGGAGTGTAATTGAGGTTTCGGTTTTGTTCTTTTGTGTTTGAGTGGGTGAATTGAGAGCTCCGGATTTTGGGGGGTTTTCCCCCTATGCTATTGATTTTTTCCTGGAGACCGCTGTCCTAAGGTTAGTGAGAATTGTGTTTAGCTATTGATTCTGGTTAGACGGTTAAGTGAGGAATTATAACCCTCATCAGAAAATTCGGGGGTTGTTAAACATCTTTATAGTTTGTTATTGGTAAGCATTTTAGTACAATCTTAACTGTTAATTCACTTTTCCCTTTAAAGTGTATTCCTTTCTTTAGAGGAGGCAAATCCATTAAATTTAGGTTTCTGTGCATGAAGTTGTCGGATTGTTATTTTCCTTCTCGGAAATGGGTGGCTATTGTTCAATTTGTGGGTTTGTTTGCAAAAGTGTATACATGCTTCTAAACTAGCGTTTGTCTTGTCATTTGGTTTTTTCAGGTTTAGCTGGACTTTTTCTTGTGCTAATTAATATCTTTACTTTTTGTTTCTTTGTTGTTATTAGATTCATATCAAGTGTCTAGGGGTGAGAAGAAAATAACAATTCTGCGTGCTTTCAGCTGGACAGGAGTTGGTAGATTTTTAAAATTGTGATCAAGGAAGTCTGGAAATTAAGAGAAAGTAGAAATACTGTCAGGGTTTACTACTCAATCTGTCTGTTACAGAGTTTGTAAAGTATTTGAGAATATTTAAAATATTAGTTAGGCTTGGCTCTGGAGAGCTACTTAGACTCCAATCACCAAGGAGGGATGACCCCCATGACACCTCGGGTGGCAGGAGGGTTAACCCAATCTTCATCAAGTTCTGGAATTTTCTTTCAAGGAGATGGGCAGTCGCAGAATTTAGTTAACTCTCATTTAAGCTCGTCTTTGGTTAACTCATCTAGCACAGTTCCTGGAGCTGGTCGTTCAAACCTGGGGCCGGTTTCTGGGGATATGAATAATGCAGTTTTGAACAGTGTGGCAAACTCAGCACCAAGTGTTGGAGCCAGTTCTTTAGTCACAGATGCAAATTCTGCACTTTCTGGTGGCCCCCATTTGCAGAGAAGTGCCAGTGTTAATGCAGACTCATACCTACGATTACCTGCCTCACCCATGTCATTTACCTCTAATAATATTAGTATTTCTGGATCATCAGTGATGGATGGCTCCACTGTAGTACAGCAGAGCTCTCATCATGATCAGAATGTTCAGCAATTGCAGCAGAATCAGCAGCAGCCACAGGGCACTTCAAGTGTTACGTCTTTGCCTGCATCTCAAACTGGCCCATCTCCGCTCCAAATGGGTGCCCAAGTCCCTGGATCTTTCATTCAAGATCCAAATAATATATCTCATCTGCCAAAGAAACCTAGATTGGATATTAAGCAGGATGATATAATGCAACATCAGGTAGTGCAACAGCTTCTTCAAAGACAAGATTCCATGCAATTCCAAGGTCGCAATCCCCAGTTACAGGCTTTGTTTCAGCAGCAGCAGCAGCAGCAGAGAATGAGACAGCAACAGATCTTTCAGTCAATGCCACAATTACAGCGAGCACACTTGCAACAGCAACAGCAGCAGCAGCAGCAGCAACAACAACAACAAATGCAACTGAGGCAGCATTTACAGCAACAAGTGATGCAGCCATCTTCTGTAAAGCGTGCATATGACAGTGGTGTTAGTGGGGTATGTGCTCGTCGATTGATGCAGTATCTCTATCATCAAAGGCAACGACCAAATGTGAGCTCTGTTTATTTGCTGCATGTCCTGCCATTATCATTTGTAGTCCTTTAGATTTGTGTTTATGTATGATTTGTATAATGTGTTAAATCTGTTTAAGATTCACTATATCATCTGTTTAGTTCAGCTTTTTGTTTCAAACTTTGTACTTTTATTTCAGGCACTTAAAAAACTACTGTATCATATCAAAATGCATTGTTTAATGTTTTAGGTACTTTTGAAGTTCTGTATTGGGTACAACTTACAACTGTCTTTGAATTTATCTGTTTGCCTCAGGATAATTGTATTGCCTATTGGAGAAAATTTGTGGCTGAATATTACTCTCCTCGTGCAAAAAAAAGGTGGTGCTTGTCTTTATATAATAACGTTGGGCATCATGCACTTGGTGTTTTCCCTCAAGCAGCAATGGTAAGGTTTTGTGATTGTTATTTATCCTTCTATATCTTGTTTCATAAATAGGATAATACGTTAATATTTGCTAATGATCAGTCTTGCATTCAAAATCTTTATCAATCAGCATTAGCTTATCATGTAATTGTTACAGCACCTAAGAAATTATGAATGACTCTGTACAGGTGCCTACACCATTTTGCCTTTCTAATGTGTTAATGCTTTTGAGTCTTTGACATTTACGCATTTTGACATGGATTTTTCCTGGTTCAGGATGCATGGCAGTGTGACATATGTGGTTCTAAATCTGGACGGGGATTTGGTAAGTATATGAAGATATTGGGGCCTGTGTAGTTTGAGTGAATGCTTTTGATTTTTATTTCCTGTTTTTACAAATAATTACAAAAATTCTACCTTTTTTTCACTTTAACTCCTATTTTCAAAGATTTGTATAAGAAATAAAATGACATAGGATTTTTGTTGTTTTCACTATTTCTTGTATAGATATCTTAAAAGAGCTAACAGAGCGAAAACAAAATGATATTCTTTAATTATATTTTACAACAGGAAATGAAAACAGAAAGTGTTTTTATCAAATCGAACAGGCCTTTATGTTGTTATTCTATAATATGTTATTTTGGAAATTTAGTTTCATTGTAAAATTTCACTTTTTATTTCATTTTGTTTAACTTTCTGGCTGACAAGTACCCCCCAGCACAATCACTTGTAAAATTCGAATTTATATTTTCGTTTTGCTTAACTTTCTGGCTAACAAGTACCCTGTGCAATTAGTGTTGACTGGTGATCACATTTTTACTTGTAACTTCAGTTTAAACCTGAAAGTTAGATAAAACTAACAGAACTAAATGCAATCAATAATAAGCAAATGTAATAACCGTGTGATTGTAAGTGGGCAATAGTGGAAGATGCACAATTTGCATGTTAAACCTACTTGTAAGCTAGATAATTAGCCTTGGGAAATAGTAGAAGATGAACAATTTGCACGTTAATGTATCTGTGAGCTAGATAATTAGCCTGTTATCTCTTGAAAACTTTTGATGATGTGAATCTAGTAATCTAATGATATGTCCATTCTGTATTTGGTTAACAGAGGCTACTTATGAAGTACTACCTAGACTTAATGAAATCAAATTTGGCAGTGGAGTGATTGATGAACTTTTATTTCTGGACATGCCACGTGAAATAAGATCTCCTTCTGGTGCAATGATGTTAGAATACGCAAAAGCAGTTCAAGAGAGTGTATATGAACAGCTTCGTGTTGTTCGCGAAGGTCAACTTCGGATCATATTCACTCAGGACTTAAAGGTTACAAAATTGTTATTATATTTAAATATCTTTAATTTTAATCTTTTGTGTTCAATGACCTCAAATTCATGTTAATTTGCACAGATATTAACTTGGGAGTTCTGTGCAAGGCGCCATGAAGAACTTCTTCCTCGAAGGTTGGTTGCACCACAGGTATGATTCTGCTCTCTTCACAATGCTTCATTCCTCTTTTGCAGCCACTATTTTGAATGGATGATGGTGCAATTTTGGTAGAATATTTCTGTAAAGTAGATTTCCATTTATAGCCAGGTTTTAGTTGATGGTTGGGACTATTTGGCAGTGGTCTTCTTCGGTCTACTTTGCATGTTCAGAATATTTCTGCAAAAAATATTCTGAATCTGTACATGATTGTATTTATTGTGTCTATTTTCATTTACTAAATTTATAATTATCTCCTAGCATGATTGTATGCACTGTTGGATACTGCTGATTGCTGAACAGTGACAGTAGTAATGCGGACATTTGGGTATGGACATTGATAAGCATTAGGGAAACTTCCTTTCTTATTTTATAAAACGGAGATCAAGGTAATTAATTTGAAATGTACCATGAGGCCCTAGAGGGTTTTAATTTATTATGTGAATGATGTCCTCAAGCATAATGCTTATATTGCATTAAAATAGTAAAATGTTCTAGACTGAAAATAGTACATCATGATAATAAATTATAACAAGATCTATAGATTGAAATTTGCAAACAGGATGAATGTAGAAGCCCTAAAAGTTAAAATTTGAAAGAGTGATAAGCTGTTGTTGGTTCATAACTCGAGAGAGAAATAGAAATCTTCCCTAAATCACATCCATTGTATCAATAGTCAGGTTCAGTTCCATTGCAGTCACCACTTTCTTCATATGCTAAGGCATTTGATATATACATATATATACCATTTTTCCCTGAGAGCATAATAAATAGAACATTAGATGGGTAGGCTTTTGAGCTGGGGGGTTAACAATTGTCAGCCATTTATAACAATTTCAGAAAGTTCACTAAGGCTTCAAAGGGCACCTCACCTGAACCAGAGAACTACAAGGTGCCATAGAGGATGCCCCCTAAACGGAGGAGTCTAACTGGAAACACCATGTGGCACTGAGTCCTTCTGTTATCTTGCCTCCTCACAGCACCTCTAACTACACTGATAGAGATAGTGCAATTCTGTATTCTGTAATTATATTTACTTAATTGGTATGATAGTATGGAGGTATTGTGTTGAATAGCATTCATACAATTCACACTTTTGCAGGTCAATCAATTAGTTCAAGTAGCTCAAAAATGTCAGAGTACAATTGCTGAAAGTGGATCAGATGGGGTTTCTCAGCAAGACTTACAAACAAACAGCAACATGTAAGTTAATGCATTGTTCTTTGTCAATGATTGACATATTAGTAAATCTACCTTGGATAATATATTTCTCCTCACTTCATCCTTTATGTGAAGATGTAACAATTGAATGGTGCATTCTGTTTTTTGTTTTGATAGATGGAGAAACAAAACTTGAAAGGATAATATAATGCAAACTAAGTTGTTTCTCCATATTTATTGGATGCTCTGTGTATGGTGTTCTTTTATTCCTTGGGCAGGGGTTTGTTGCAAAAGCTGTGTGATAAGGGCCTAGTTTAGGTGAAGAAAAAAATCAGTATAAAAAATGAATAAAACTTCTCTCAGAAGTTAAAAACAACTTATCTTTTTAAATTATAGAGAAGTTAAATGAGAGGGTTTCTCAAAACTTCTAAAAAAAAAAAGAGAAGTATTAAGTTATTTCTGAATTATGGGTGAAGTTTTATTCATTTTTTATATTGATTTCTTTCCTCCTATAAGGATTTCTCTAAAAATTTATCCAAATTGAGCCAAGATGTTCTTTTTGGCTTTTGCATGCTTCATTATACTTTTTAGTGAAAAGACTACTTCAGTCAAGAGTTCTTGAGCATTTTTATCAATAACTTTCCTAAACAATACCCCAATCCAAACACACCCAAGGAGAAGCGGAACCATTGGAAAAAGAAATAGAAAAAGTGATCATATTGAAAGTCAAATTACCAACAATTGGAAACAGAAGTATCTTGGTTGGAGCATAAGATTTTTCCTTGTGAACATATAACATATATAAATTGAGATTTCCGCCCCCTCCTCTTTTTGTCACATTATTTATTTATTTATTTGTTTGCTGGAGCAAGGATTGTACAAGTTGACATTAAAAATATGTCTAGGTTCAGGCTTAAGATGCTGTTTCCTTTGCATCAGGGTATTGACAGCAGGGCGTCAGCTTGCAAAGACATTGGAGTTGCAATCCTTAAATGACTTGGGCTTTTCTAAAAGATATGTGAGATGTCTGCAGGTATGCTGTTAAATTCTAGTTCAGAGTTTTTCTGTTGATTGTTGACACAAGTATAAAGAAAGTTATTATATATCTATATATATGTATATATTCAAGCCTTCTTATCATTGCCTACTACAATGTTTGACAGATTTCAGAGGTTGTCAACAGCATGAAAGACTTGATCGATATCTGTGCAGAGCACAAAATTGGAGCAATTGGTAATTTGTGTGTGGTTTTTGTGACTACACTACCGTGTTTAGCTATATTTGTGGCATGATTTTCTTTTATTGGGCTCCTAATATTTAGTTGTTTGAAGCTGTTTAAATTTCAGTGTGAAAGTCTATTTTCAAATTGTCACATGGCCTTTGTTTACCTGTACATTGATCTAAGATTCACCTGCAGAGAGCTTGAAAAATTATCCTCGACTTGCAACAGCGTCGAAGTTCCAGATGCAGAAGATGCAGGAAATGGAACAGCTGGCAAATGTTCAAGGGCTGCCCACTGATCGAAACACACTTAACAAGCTAATGACACTGAATCCTGGATTGAACAACCATATAAACAACAATCATAATATGGTCAATCGTGGTGCTTTGAGTGGGTCAGCTCAAGCTGCTTTGGCACTGACCAACTACCAGAATCTTCTCATGAGGCAAAACTCAATGAATTCAAGCCCTGGCTCACTTCAGCGAGAAGGTTCCTCTTTCAATAATTCGAACCAGAGTCCCTCTTCAGCTTTGCAAGGTGCTGGTCCTGCTTTAATTCCCGGCTCAATGCAGAATTCACCAGTTAGTGGTTTCCAAAGTCCCCATCTACCACCACAGCAACAGCATCAGCAGCAGCAGCAGCACCTTCAACAGCGGTCATTAAGTGCAAATAGCGTAATGCAACAAAATCATTCACAGGGGTCCCAAGGAAATCAAGCACTACATCAGCAGATGATCCAGCAACTGCTGCATGATATGTCAAATAACAATGGGGGAATGCAACCACAGTCTCTTGGTGGACCCAATGTCAACGGAAATATAGCAAAGAATGGGATGAGTTTTGGGGGCCACACTCCACCCATGACTGGAGGTTCTGCCAATGTTCCAGTAAATAATGGCCCTGTTTCAAGGAATAATAGCTTCAAAACGGCTTCAAACAGTGATTCTTCTGCAGCTGGTGGCAACAATGGATTCAACCAGAGAACATCTGATTTGCCTCAAAATCTACATTTGCAAGATTTGGTTCAGGACATTGCCCATGAATTCACGGATAACCCCATCTTTAACAGCGATCTAGATGATAACATGGGCTTTGGCTGGAAGGCATGACTAACACAACTTGGCCATGTAATTGGCATATCTTGTTCAAGTGTTTATCATATTATTATCTTTGTACAGAATACTTTAAATAGGTGCTGCCTATTTTTTTCTTGGTTTTCCGTCATTTTCTTAATGGAATTTATTGTGACTCGTAAAGTAGGTGTTTAGAGATTTTATTTGAGGGTTTTTGTCCTGCAAGTGTAATCTATTGGACAATTTAAAGAACAGTTAGTTTCTTATACTACACTAAAATGCCCCCATTCCTTTGTTTTTGTGTGCCAAATAAGTTTAATTGATACCATTGAAAACAATGCTACCTGGCTATTTGATTATTATGCCCTGCCAAAAGTACCCAATATGTAGCCTAAAAGGAGATCCGGATTTGGGTTAGTTGAAAGATGGTGCGGTAATAATTCAGAAATTGGATTAAGATTTCGGATTTTTTTATCCATTTATCTAAAAGATTTTCCATTCTTAAAATAGGAACTTCCGATCTTCATTAGACTTTTTTATTTAAATAATGTAAATTAAAGAAAAAAATTAATTTAACACAATATTTACACTATTTCTCAGTTTAGAATAAATTTAGTCACTTATCATAAGTTTTGCTAATACTAGGCAAAAATATTTAGTTTTTTATTTTTTAAAATATATTTTACTAGAAAATCTGTAAAATTAATAAGATTACATTGTGTAAAATAAGGTAGTTTTGTCCTTGCCTGTTGGGTTTAAACAAGATTCACACTATACCTTTAGCAAAAGTTATTTATTAGCTAACATATGTCGGACTCTTTTTCTTTCCTTCTTTTCTTCCTTTTTTTTTTTTCTTTCTTTTTTCACCCGCGTTTCTCTCCATTTTTTTTTTCTCTAAAGATTGTTAATGGTGTGAGGATTTTGTAGCTAAATTTTTTCAATTTTTAAGCTTTTAATATGGTATTAATTATTTTATATGCTTTTATATATTATTTCATATTTTATTTATCATTTTAAAATTCAAAAAATAAAAAAATTATAATTTGTGTAAATTAATGCAGGTAATTATGTGGTGGGTGAGTGGTAGAACAATTGCAGCAAAGGCTAGTAATTTTTTTTTTAATTTTAATATTTTTACATTAGTTTGTGTTTATATTTAGGCAAAATATTAATATGTTTAAATAAAAACTAGGTTGTAATATAATTGACTAAAATGTAATTTTGTAATTATTTGTTAGACAAAAAATAATTTAATGATATTTTTTAATTATATTTTTGCATAATATCATTAATATGATGTTGTATATTACATGTTATACTTTTTGTAAAATTGGAGAATAATAAAAATCTAGTTAACTAAAAAAATTAATAATCAATTATATTTAATTTAATTGTAATAAATATTTTTTACAAACATTTATTATTTATTTAAGTATGATATGTAAATTGTAAATTTTTTAATTTAGTAATAATGTTAAAATTAATTATATTTAATTACGATATAACAATAATTTTTATGTAGTGCAGGTATATATAATTTTTAAAATAATTTAGTTAAAAGCCATGTAATTATGTATATACTATTGAAACATTATTAAAATATATTAAAGATTTTTCTTACCAAGAATGCATGAACAAATTAAATTTAAATTTAATTTTTAATGATCTTGAGAAACTCTAAAATTAACACATGTATGCAAATCCTAATTTGAATTCTTCAACAATGAATCCCTTGCTCTTTATAGACAATTAAAACTATGGTTTAAGCATTTCATATAGAAATATGTTAGTTTAGACCCAATCACAAAATAACTTTGATAAATCTTTATTGTGTAATGTTTTAAATTATTTTTCACATCTTCTTTAGCATCAAATAACACGCCAACAAATAAAAGATATATTTCAACTTATAAATTGACTTCTTTAAAAAAAATTTTAGTCATTTCTTGATTAGTATATTCTCAATTAAAGTACTTATAGTACGTAGTTACATTCTAATAATAATGTTAAGATGAATACTGTCATATAAAAATAGAATAAAATATAATTATATATTCTAAAATATTGAAGTCACATACATAAATTCTTATTATTTGTTATTGAATATATAATAAAAAAATATTATTCTTTTTTCTTATTTTTTTCTTACGGTGTTTTTAGTTTTTCTGTTTATTTGGTCATTGTTATTAGATTTTCGTGCTTTCTCAAGTGTAGTAACAGAGTTTTTACAAATAAAAATAAAAATTGTTTTAACCCATCGCAAACAAACATATTCTAAAACTTCCTTAACATAAAAAAGAGTGCCCCGAGTAATTCTTCCTAATCGTGCCAAAAAAATTGAAAAATCTTAAGTAACAAACATAAGAAGTAAAAATAATAATAATAATTAACAAAGACCTAGACCTATTTTTGCTCTCACAAAAGTGATTAATTAAAAAGTAAAATCACAGTGTAAAGTATTTTTTTTTTTTTTTGGCTAAAATTGTTTCACCATTCTTTCCTATACTCCGTAGGGCAAATCACTACCCCATCAATGCAAAGACCACCTTTCGTGTGTGTGCAATCAATCTGGGCCAAAGAAAACTTGATGTTTGTGGGCCCATTGGGCCTCTCTATGGCAAAGTCCCCAACATGGTAGTGGGCCCATTCCGCGGGCCCACGCAAATAACACTGGGAGAGTGAACGCTGACCATCAGATGTAGAAAGTTGAAATCTGACGGGCTTGATGTCCCAGCCATGCACTTGTTCAATATTGCACACACGACGGCCCAATCTCTTGCAGGTCTTGCCCAATTGAAGCCTGAAAAATACACTATAGTTCCCTTTTGGAAAATCAAACTCTAACTCTCCTATTACTTCAACCCACCACATTTGTTGAAGATATGCAACACTCTTGAACCTGCATGGTACAAAACAATGTATTGGTTCAATCATCACTTTTCTTTGTTTTTTTACTTTAAGGATTTTAAATCCAAATATTTTCTATGAGTAAATTATTCCTTTAAAATTGAGGTTTGGGTTTCTTGTTTTACTTAAGATTAAGACCATGATAGTGTCATATTATGAGGGGAAAGATAAAAAGCTTAATCAATTTCTCACATAAATTTTGGGTTTTTTTAATAACACAAAAATTCCATGTTAAAATAAAAAGCAAATGATTGTAATCTTCACAATTGATTTTTTTAAAATAGGACAATTTCTCATATAGAATCTATTATTATTATTTTTCTTATTCACAATTTGTAGGAAAAATCAAAATAAACTAAATAGGGAGTGGAGTTGGAATCCTTATTTAAAAGTGAAAGACATAATCTTTTTGCTTTCGGCTCATTAGACTCAACATTTCTACAAATATAATTTCAAAATGAGTATAGGGGTTAAGACACAAAAAGAGAAGTCTCTTGGTTTTATTAATAAGATAATTCGTATCTTGAAAACGAATTATGATTGCATGTGTCCAAATATGAATGTTGTAAGAATTTAACATAACACACTAAAAGCATTTGATAATGTTCTATTAATTAAAAAAAAAAGATTCTTAGTAAATGTTTTCTTATTATAATTAATTTATGACAGAGGACATTTTATTAGTAAAAGAGAAACAACAGAGCAATGATGTTTTCGTTTTATTTGATTATATGAAATTCAACTACCAGTACACAATGTCAATTACATAAGATTAATTTTCCTCCCACAACAAAAAAGAAGAAGCTTTTGCTTGAGTACAAGTTCTTTTCAACTATTGCATAACATTTTATAAATGCAACTTGCTTGCACTCTTGTTCTTTGTTTTTTAATTATCGATAAGATAGCTGACTAGGAAAAGCTAGTTGTCAAATTTGTTTAATTTTAATAATTAATATATTTCTTTTCCTCTAATAAAAGTCATTCTCAACTTATTTTTATAATATTCTAAGTGCAAATTGCTTGCACTTTTTTCCCTTGTTCTTTAATTACCTTTAAGATGTGAATGATGACTGGGACGAATTGCTTTCCTGAATATGGTAAAGCAAATTGTCAACAGACTTTTCCAGAAAAATATAACAAATCAAACCATTTGTTTGGGATTTTCTGTCTCAAGGGTCATAAACATTTTGGTAGTGTAGCTGCTATGGTGATTCATGAACAGTGTCAACATTTCCATCAATCAAATAGTTTGAATTCTTACAAGATTAAGAAAGGGGAACAATTATAATAAAGTCAATTTTGGGCTTATAAATATATCGAATAACCCCTTCTTTGTCCCTAAATCATGGTAAGTCCACTCTTACTAAAATATAAACTTTTGCTCGTATTGATAAATTTGAAAATGAGAAAATTTCTAATATACACAAAGTGCTATGATGAACTTATACTAAAATATGTTCAAGACGAATTGTTTACTTCAAGAAATGACATGTATATCTGAAAGGGAGGATTCATGCATTTGTTTGATAAAAATTAAAATAGTTACAGATCTGCCATCTGAAATTGAATTGCGTGTGTTGAAGTTTGAGTTTCACGATCTTAATTTCTTGTAGTGCGTTTATATATACAATATTTATATAAAATGAAGACTTTTTAAGGGTCACAATTTCTGTCGACAAAATTCATAAATAAAAATTTGCAGCTCCACCATAGTTTGTATATATTATTAATTGTATTTGGCAATAAATTTTAAAATATCCACACTTTTCTCACCTGGATTCCTCAGTTGGAATGTAATTCCAATATCTTCTATCATCTATTCCTGTAATCTTGAAGGACTTTGATGAAACGAACAAACAAACTTGCCCACTGCATCTATCCAGCAAAACATTCTATTTAAAAATAAAAAACAAACTAGTCAATGCAATGAATTAGAGAAAGAAAAGAAAGGGAAAAATAGAAACAGAAAAAGCACCCCACCAACCACACCCATTTTTTTTTACACCCAAATTAATTATTACTTAAACATAGTGATGCTAAAGAACCGATCCACAACTATAATTAAAAAGACTAATTTTGAGTAACTTACTTTGGTACCACCATCAAAGAAATTGGGTTGACATAGTTCGGCATAGATCTCTTTCTTGGTCATGGAACCAAGATTTTGTTCACCAAGTACTTTTTTTACAAGAAATTTGTAATTTGTGGGCAACTTCGATTCCCATACAAAGTCAGAAGAGGAAGCTCTGTGAAAAGTTTTGTTAACTCTAGCCAATGTGCAAATCACTTGTGGATCAAAACTCATCAACATAGAAGAGATGCAATTCTCAGGGATATCCTCAAGGCCAGTCTTTGATGATTGATTAAGAGAGTTTTCATCATCATTTTGAGCTATAGTTGTGGAAATAGCAGCCCCCATATATGAAAATTGAGAAGAAAGTGGAGTTATATGTATTGGGTTGAAGAGATTAGAGGGTATGCTGAAAAGGGTTCAATGGTAAAGGAGGAGGTGATGGAGGAGAAGAGAGAATGAAGCAAAAACTGATCGAGGTGTTTCCATTATTGTCTTTGTGTGTTTGGATTAAGTTTGTGTTGTGGCACATGCTTCATTGAGTTTTGGCTTTTAAGAGACACTTGTTTGTGGGAAAAGGCATAAAGTGAAGTTTCTTTTGGTCCTTTCTTCTATATTTGGAACCTCAAAAAGAATTTGTAATTATAGTGGACGTGTACATGAGTGTGCACCAATTTAAATATATCTGTTCTTTAATTATGTGTGGAGATTGTGGTCTATTAAGAAAGCTCCTACTACTTAATGCATTTTTTATTGGTTTTCTTATATCTGTATTCAGGGATAATCTATCTTCATCTATTTGAGTCAAAAGAAAAAATAATTCTTTCACTATTTTAACAATTTATTTTGATTAGTTTTTCAAAATAAATATACAATTGTAATGACTTTATAATAAAATATATAAAAAAATGTTTTAATAATTACAACTAAATAAAAGTAAAATTTTCAATCTGAAATAAAGGTAAATTTCCTTTATATAAAGTTTTTTAAAATGAATTAAGTTTTATTGACTCTTAAAGTTATTTTTTAAAATTTAAACTAATGAGTTTTAACCGACTTTAATCTTTTAGCATTCCTCTTCTAAATAAAACTATTTAAAACTCATTTTTCTCCTAATTTTCCGAACAAAACATTCTAAGAACAAAAATTGTTTCCTATATCCTAGACTTGTGGTCCGTGTATAATCTTATCCACTTTCAAGACATAGGAAACTTATAGTGTCCTTAGTGCGTAACATATCTATCAAGCACATAAAACAAAGACATTCATGTACAATGTACATACATACGTATATACAGAAAGAGATGCAAAGGTTCTTTTATGTTGTTATCATATTTGATTGTTTGAAGGCAAAAGCATAAGCATAATCTATTTGGTATCTTGAAAGATAAGAACCACTGGTCCCATCTGTCCAGCTCATTAAATAAATAAAACTCATTATATATATATATATATATATATATATATATATATATATATATATATATGTAATTTCACTTATTCATGCCTAATTTAACATTCTTTACTGCTTACCAAAGTGAGCTCTTAAAATAAGAAGTTTTCTTATTTGAGTTTTATGAATAGTATATATTAAATAAGGGATAAAAGGAGTTTAATTTATTAATAACTAAAACTAATTCTTTATTTGTTTAATTATAAAAAGTATTGAACAGTGCTATTAATTTTTTTTTTTCCGATGAAACGTGATAGAATGACATGATTTCATTTCTTAATTATTATTATTATTATTAATCAACCAATAAAAGTTCATTAACATGAATTCGAATGGATTCAGACTTATTAATAGAATTTTTTTTAATTATATGATCAATATTGATTAATTATTTTTTTATTTTTATTGGGTAAGAAAAATTTTAATTACAGAACCTTACAATGAGTAAGACACTACAATACAATTATAAAACTTTAAAAGACAATAAATATATGAGTCCATCTTTTTATAAACACTTAATTTACTCATATCTCATTTTATGTGAGATTGATTCATAATTGACTCTAATAATTTTATCATCTTTATTCATTCAATAAATTTTTTATAAATATAAAATATTGAAGTCAGATGCTTAAATTTATATTCAATATAGTTGAAGTTGATTGGTGATTAATTGTTTTACATGTTTCTTCTCACTCTTTCAAAATTTTCTTCTAAAATGAGTTTTTTAAATTTATAATCAATTTTTTAACACATAATATATTTTATTAAAAATTATATTTATTACATTAAAATTATAAAAATATATTTTTAAATATAAAATTAAAATCTAAAGATTGAAATGAGCATTTTTTATTATTTTTTAATGTAGCTAATTGATCTATCATTACTCTAAAATATTTATCGATACTTGTATATAAAATATATTATTTATTTGTTATTAGATTAATCATAATAATATAATAATTAAATAAAAAATAATCAATAAAATGACCATGAATATATAAAAACAAGAAGGAACGCTGGCATGCATTTGAAGTCCACCAGTTTTGTGAATCTAGGGTGTTGGTGGAGCAATGTGGAACGAGTTAAATGCATCGCTGGCAGTGACTCAGCTCAAGTGCTGAATCGGCAACGGATTGTACCAACGACGACGATGCGTTTCCAACCAAACCACAAAGCAAAGTTTTGATCGATTAAGTCAAAAACCAAATTATTGCATATTTGTTTTCATTTCCTTTTCCAGAAGATATTCAATTTCCTCGTCGGAAAACCAAAGTAATGCTTATCACATTCATTCAATATTATACGTATTTTTAATGTTATATGATGAATAATCTCATGCAATAAAACATAAAAATAACAATTTTTTATTAAGGAAATAATAATACTGTTAAAATATTTATAAATTAAGATTATTCTTTTTACAATCCATGACCGACCTATTTGAGCATCAATTTTCAAATTCAGTCTCCAATACGGGTAGAGAATTTGTGACTCCACCCCTTAAAAAGAATATAATAATAAGTTAGCTTAAACATTTTTTAAATTTTGTATTTTTATCAAATTTTAATTAAAATTGACATATAATAATTTGTAATTAATGATAATAAATTTATAAAAAAAATGAGAGAGAGAAACAGAGAGAGTAAACTCGACCATGAAAGAGAGAGATAGAGACCTCCACATTGGTATACATATTCCCTACGGCCAATATGCAGCATAGTATTCTATACCCATCATCATTGTCCACTAGTTTTTATCACTGCAGCTTCCAATTAATTGATTTATTTTTTTTTTCTATTTCTTTCAAATAAATTTTAAATAAAAAAATTATCTTTAATTTTCAAAATAATTCCAATGAAATGCATACTAATTCCATTAATTAGTTAATACTATAAATTGGGTTGATAATCTAACTGTTTTCTTTTTTTCTCTATTTCGCGGGCCACTTGAGCTGCTAAGCACAAACCATTATTCGAGTTATACATTGAGATAGAATCAATAAGCAGCAAGTTAATTATATAAAATTATGCTTTGACAACATTTTATAAAAGATTGCTTTTTCTTCAATTAATTGCTGAATTAGGAGATATCACAACAATTATATGTATAACTCTAGATAATTTTAAAATGCATCTAAATTTAAAAATATATGTAATATAATAATAAATATTTTTTTTATTTTAAATATATATTATATGTTAAAATAAAAGAATATGATAAAGTATTAATTAATTAGTTTTATAGTTACAAAATAATTGATCCACTTTTTATAAGAATTTTAAATCTAACAGTTTGATTAATAAAATATACTTTTTTATAAAATATTTTTAAAAATTTAATATTTAGAATGAATTAATCTTATCTAACAAAAACCATGTAACTTTATAATTTATTAATATAATTCCATATTTAAGATTCAATTTTTTCTAATCCCTCATGCTATTTTTTAATTCATCTATGAAGTTATTATAGATAGTTGCTTTTAAAGTATTAAATGGTCTACTAATAGAGGTTAGTCTAAATGACAAGCGGCTTGATATCATTTAAGTAAGTTTTTAAGTTTAAATTTGTATGTATGCAAAAAATCTTCAGAGGTAGACTCATCTATAGCATGCAGGTGTGGATTTGAATGATTCGGGTGAGAATATATAATATACAATAATGTTAGTAGAGATCTTTAATTTAAATAAATTAAAACTTATTTCTTAAGATAATCAAAACCCCTAAATTATTAGAACACATAAAAAACAATTATTATCGACCAACTTATGATGATTTCACTTCGGTAAAATTAAACACTGAACCAATATAAAGTCAATTTTTATATATGTTATTATTTTGCTGAAATATAAACTGATTAAGTTTGAAATGCCTATACTTTTACTTTTTCTAATTCATTGGACCAACATTTTTACATCCTGCTACCTGAAGCAAATTCAAGATCATGCAAACACAATTGAGTTTTTATATGACTTTTAATAAATAGAAAATAAATCTAATAACATAAAATAATTATGTATGCTCATATCTCTAAGATAAAGTAAGATTGAGCAAGATCAGTTTATACTGGAAAATCAATGATCTAATTTAAAATCAATTGTGATTGAATTAGCATAAAAATATACGGTCCTGAAATAAGTTATTTCTTTTCCAAAAAAAAAAAAAAGTATAAGTTGGTTTTCTAAAAATTAAAACTACATAATAACTTTCGGCAAAAAGAATTTTACTAAATAACATTGAATAGTGATTTTTTAAAAGTTTTTTTTGAAAAATAATTGCCTAAAACAATTCAATCCAAAGAGACACTAAAATCATTAAAAAGATATTGACACATATTCTTAAAATATTAGAAGTAATTATATACACTTCAATCTCTTTACTTTAAAAATTGCAGAAAAAAAATAATTCAATGTCACATTTAGTTTTTAGAAAAATAAATGGACAAAAAATACATTAACAAATTTATATTGAAGGCTATTTTCAGCAATAACTAATAAGGAAGCACGAGTGATGAATAATAGATGATTTGAGATGAGTTAATGGGTGTGAGAAACTATGAAGGGTAAGAGGTTGAGAGAAAATGTGAATGACATATTGTTGTAGAAGTGTGATGTTGACAAGAAATATAGTGTGCAATATACTTATCACTATATTTATCATTTCTTTACTGCAGGTAACAATTTGGACCTAGGTCTAGTGCAAGCAAGCCTTACGTAAGATTTAGAAGGTTAATGCGCCAAGGTAGGTAGTAGTATTCATTTGACGTCTATTACTTAATGCAGTTCTAATATGGAAGAACTTGACCAAACGTCGATTGATAATTCCCTCAAAATCTTGTGAGCTATGTGATACTGAAGATGAAGGACATATTACATCTTTTTTTTGCATTGCGGTGTTTTCATAAAATTGTAGTACATGATGTTTAAATGATTTGATATCAGTTTATACTTATCTAAAAATTTGTATGAGATGTTACTAAGCATGTGTGGAATCCAATGTAAAAAAAATAAATTAAAAAATAAAGGTGAGTTGTAATAGTATGATTTGTGATAGTAATCATAGTATGAACAATTTGGTTCAAGCAAAATAATATTTTTTTTATTCTTAATAAAATATTAATGTTTAGCGA